GGCATCTCTCTCTACTCATACCATCTCGAATTTGCTTGCTTAATGATGCAAATAGAAAAGAAGGTGAAATACTATTCTTTGCAGTGGTGCTGAGGTGCTGGTGTTCACGGAGCCATCAAACCGGGTTATCCATTACGTGGTCGCCACCGATGACGATTCTGGCCCAAACGCTGCCATTTCTTACGACCTGATCTCCGATCCCACCGATTGCTTCGGTATCGACCACAAGACTGGTAAGCTGGAGGGTTCAGTGAAATTCGAGGGGATTTTCCCGACAAATATGTGTTTTCTTTAGGTGCACTATCGATGCTGCGACGTCCTCCATCCAGTGATTCCACCATAGTTGTTCGTGCCAGCGACGAGGGAACACCGTCACTTTTTGTCGATCAGACCCTTACAATACGGTAATAACTAGAGTCGTCAGGCAGGTGTCAGACTTTGCGAAGAATCGCCAGCAAGTCGCGCGATTACGAATATCCGAAAGTACGAGCACTGTGCCAGCGATTTCAGCGATGCGCCGCAGTAAGTCGCCAGCACATCGCTGAAATCGCTAGCTCGAGTTGCTTAACTCCTAGCGGAACGCGCGATTCGTCGCGATTTTTCGCAAAGTCTGCCACTTGCCTTATTGAAAATCTACCGTATACTCGTTATCGACCCATATTTAGGCTGACAAGTGACAGTAAGAAATGGAGTTATTTTGATGACGACGAGGTTGAAGTGACGATAGCAGACACAGCACCGGCAGGAACAACTATCGCAACGCTTAGTCCTAGATGGTTCCGTAGTTTCAAATAGTATTTATTGATTGAATTGATTATTTGCATCGCCATATTCACTTGCCCTCTGCAAACCACCATGAAAATGCGAAATTGGGCCCATAAATTGAACGTGAAGTTCTCCTAATAATGATTAGTGTCTTGACACCGAACTTGAATTCTATGGTTCGCATCCAGACGAGCGAAAAAGATAGTCTTTGACATTCGCCAATTCCGTTTTGGGATGCGCTGCGCATTAGACCTCGATCGAATTTGTGGTAACAAATGAATACGTATTAAGTCAAGGCAATGACTTGTTTGGTCCATGAAAGCTACAGTAGCGGGGAAAAGTGTTGGCCGAAACGATTTTTAGTGCATTATTTTTTTCTCACCCGAGCAGCGCCCTCCAAAGGATAAAAAAGGATAAAGCATTTGCCGTTGATCAATCCCTTTTTGGGATGCGGCACGCATTCTACTTCCATTTGTACATTCGCAGTGGCGTTTGAATGCGATGTGGCCTATACAATGACTTGCGGGGGCCAGCCGATGTACAAGTCAGTGTTTTTTATCCTCCCAGACAAGTCTGGTACCAATTAACCGACCCCGGAGGGATGGAAGGCTTGGTTGGCCCGGGCGACTCACGACCCAGGATTTGATCCCGGACCGCTCGCGTGGTAAGCGCGCCACTTGCCACTACACCACTTCCGCCCTTCCAAAGATTGATATACTGTTTTCTGGTCTTTTTGTATCCTTGAGTCTTAACGAATCATGATATCCAAAAAATTTTCCGAGATAACCAATGCTTTTTTTGGCAAAAGAGAAGAAGACAGCACGGAAAAACTGTTTCGGCGAGCACTTATGACCGCTACTGTATGTATTGCCACATGATTCTCAATAAGATTGGAACCATTGATCAGACGCACAAGTAAAAGAGGCTTTGCTTGACTTGCACCGTAATTCATTCCAGGGTTCTGGCCGGCCGTACTAGGCAGCAAAAGGGGCGGCGCGTTGGCATCTTTAGGCCGATGTCAGACTTTGCGAATCGCGCGATTCGCTAGCGTCCGCGGTCGCGTTGCGGTACCAGCCAATTGAGTGATTCACTGGCCGCGACGCGACCGCAGACGCTAGCGAATCGCGCGATTCGCAAAGTCTGACATCGGCCTTAGGCTGTTTCTGGTTTGCATTCAGAAGTGTGATCGAGAGCGAATCGCTGGAT